GTTGATGATCAATGCACATAATTAAGATTGGTGGCCTACATCACACAAAAAAGTCCCAAACATTTTAACCTCAGCTTGGGTGAAATTTCTCAGCTCTTCCCCGTTGTTCTTCTGGCTATTCAACAGCTTGCCAAACTGTGGAGGTTGTTGTATGATGTAAAATAAAGACTTTTCGGCTTCTTGATTGGTCACTGCTTTCAGGTTCTGACTTCTGACTGGCTGAGAAGATCCTTGAAAGGTAAAAGATAGGGAGAGCCACCCCTTAGCCACCACACAATGAAAAGGTTGCTCATCTATGAAAGAATTGGAAATGGTTTCTCCAGGTTCTAAATGCTTGATGTATTCCGTATACACATCATGTTCACCTCATAGCGCTTACATGCATTGACAACACATGAATACACAAGTGACTTTAATGCAAAGGAGAGGAAATGTAGTTTAACAGTAGAGCTGGGGATACAATGGAGAGGACATCAGGAGACAGAGGTTCCAGGAAGGGTTTCATAGCAAAGCTGATGACATCGTCAGTCATAACTTAGACTAGCCTAGCCTTTCACAAAGAATAATGTTGTCTTTGAAACTGAGGACATCAGTAGATATCTTACCTGGGCACACCATCAGATCTTGCTTATTTTTCAGACTGATGATAAGTTTCTTTTGGGCTTTCACAGCAAAAAAGTGTCCCGGAGACATGTTCTCACCATCAGATAGATCGAAGGAAAACCCTCCCTCCAGAGGTCCTAGAGACGACAACCAAAAAGAAGCTTAGAACACAAGGACATGTGGTCCATTCATGCCCTAACTTCTTGACCTCTTCTACTTTTGGATATTGGACACCGCAGGTGGGGCCTGTAGAAAAACGGTGTGCAGTTTTACTTCTTGGTAGGACTAATTCTGCTTATGCCCTTCTGATGGGATACTGATACTCCAATGCCCTGCTTACTTTTCTTTTTCATTTGATGTTCACCAACCACTTTTTCATGGGTACCTGTTTTGCCTGGTGATCTCTAAAACATTCTGCTCTTTAATCTGCACTTTTATTGTGGATTTCTAATTGATTGTGCTGCCTGCAAAAGTTGGGATTTCATATCTTGTCTTGACCACATAGAAAGTGGAATTTACTGTGGAAGTAAGCATAATGGAGGATCCATCGTGAAAGATCTGGCCGGGTAGATGAAAGACCTGGCTGGGATGGAAGACTCCGGTGGGGGGATTTGGAAGGCCTCGGCCTGGCGGAAGACCTGGTTGGGAGGGAACACTCGGCCAGGATTTCGCCCGGCGGAGGTCCGAAGGATTCGCCCCAGTAGAAGACCTAGCTGGGACAGAGGACGTGGCGAGGGCTTGGGGAGCGGCTCCCTGAATTGACCAACTCCACGAGGACTGTTTCTCCCCCCTTTTTTGGTTCCCTGCTGCCGGACCCATTGCTTCACCCGGAATGTACTCCAGGACGGATCTGCTGGTCCTGCGCGATTCCCCCCTCGCGCAGGCCTGGCCCAGTACAATCCCAAGGGCCTGCCTCGATGAAGGGGTGTGGAGCCCCGAGAGGTGGTATGCAGCAGACAGAGGGGAAAAAATGAAACTAAGGGCTTTTTTAGAGGGGTGTTTTAAAATTTTTTTAGGGGGTATGGGGGTGGTTAGGGGGGACAGGGGATGTCTCCCTGAGGCTAAGGTCGGCCATGTCTGAGGGACGCGGCATTAGAATGGTGAGGGGGGAGGTTGGGGGGCTAAGGGAGGGTGGTGTGATCAGTACGGTCAGTGGGAGGGGCAGATATGGCGGGAGCAGAGGACCATATCGGGTTCTGGGAGCACGCACACGCTGCTTACAAGCTTGCGGGTGCTCCGGTCCTCAGGACTCTACTCGGTCTCCGGGGATCTTAGACCCTCGGGCCCGGGATCACCGGCTGATGCTATGCAATGCCAGGTCCGTGGTGAACAAGGCCCCCCTCATTCAAGATCTTATTCAAGAGGGGGGTGCGGACCTGGCAGGGATCACCGAGACCTGGCTGGGCACGGAAGGGGGTGTACCCCTCGTGGACATCTGCCCGCCGGGTTTCCAGGTATTTCATC